CCACAATCCCTTCTCCTCCATTCTCCTCTCTGGATCTTGGGCACGCACACACACGCGCCCGACGTGAGTTTAAGCCACCGGATCCGGAACTTGAACCATGGTCAACTACATGGGAGTTCAGTGACATAGCCATTATGCTAACCGCTGGTCCCTCCATTCCTTTCCTGTCAGAATTTGGGACACACATGCACATGCACCCAGTGTGTTTTTCAAGCTGCCACGGCTAGGATACAAACTACATGCTTGTCCATGTGAGAGCTGGCTCCCTTAACCACTAGGCCATGAGGCCAACCCCAAAAGCATTTCTTTAATGTCTATAACATCTCTGTGGTATTAACTTCATTGCATTCATTAATGTCTGGGAAAGGATTCACTGCTCTACACAACATCCCCAAATTTTCCTAATTAAGTGGAACCCTAACTCCAAGGAGTCACAACTCAAGCAGTCTTGGGCTCCTACCTATGGCTGTCTGGTCTCATCCATGATCACCGGACCCCTCGCCACCTGCCACTGGAGGGATGTCCCTTCAGAATCCGCTAAGAGGAAAGGTCTCTATTGCCTTAACAAGGAGGTACACCACCCAGTTCTGCCTGGACAGCTAGCACATCTGGTGGCCATTGTAATGAGCAAAAATTGATTACCTAAGCGATTCCTTACCTGTATTCTCATCAACCAGATCCTTCAACTGGAAAATCAGGGTGAGTCTGTTCACAGGAGTTCCCACCCAGGCCCTGTTCAAAGACACTGACCTCCTCGAACCTCAGTTTCCCTGGCACATGGGGATAATAATGTAAGGATAAGGACACATATGTGATAATGTAAATAACAGCACTTTGGCAAATAGGATGTATGATTTAGTTTTCTTTTTTTAGATTTTTGCCATAGGGTACATGTACTTGCCGGAGAGAGACAAAGGTAGAGATAGAGAAGGAAAGTGAGAAATCACTCCCCAGGAGGGCCATGCTACAATCCCTTCTCCTCCATTCTTCTCTTGGGATTTTGGGAGCGCACACACACACACACACACACAGCGTGATTTTCAAGTCACCAGGTCCAGGATTCAAACTGTGGTCGGCCATGTGGGAGTCCAGTGCCTTAATCACCATGCTACCTGCTGACCCCAGAAGACCCTATTTTTAGGACCTAAAAGTCAAATAGAAACAGCTCTAGGGGAGGATTTAGGTTCTGAGCTTCTACCTTTGTAAGAGTGGCGAATAATGAATCAGAATGAACTGGAAACCTTCTAAAGTTTCCATCTCAGGCCCCTTGTAACAATGTAGACAATAATTATACTGACACAGGTATTCCAAGAGTCATATTGGTTCCCCAGACAGAAGTCCATCTAATGAATACACAGGTCTGTCTGGAGATTAGCCACAGCCCTGTTCCTGCCCTCTATACCCACCTTGACCCCCACGTTCATGATCTGAGCCATAAAGGGCTTCCTCGAATAGCAGGTCCTAACTTCCGTTCTTCACCTCCTCGCCTCTGAGACACCTGAGATACCTGCTGTCTTCTGGATGAATCCCCAGCGGGGAGTTGGCTATACCCAGTAAGCAGCATCCATTCACCATTCCCCTCGGCAAGGCACCATTTGCATAGAGGACTGCTGCTTGATTTGCATGTCTGTCACCGACCCCTACTCAAGCCTGTCCATGCTCAAGAGCAGGACCATACATGTCTTGCTTACATACATGTCCCATTCCTGTGCTGTAACACCTGCAAAGTGCTTCGCACATACTGGCTACATGCTCCTAGCAGCCAGTGTGACCATTAAATTAAAATAGACTTAAAGGCACTTGGACTCCACCTCTCTATTCTAAGAGGCAACCAACAACTCTAAAAAGACTAAATCTAGGGACCATGAAATGGCATAGTAGTTACGTCCCTGGACTCCCACATGTCCGACCATGGTTCGAGTCTCAGACCCAGCTTGAAACTCACACCAGACACGTGTGTGCATGCCCAAAATCCCGACAGGAGAATGGAGGAGAAAGAATTGCAGTATGGCCATCTCCCCTAGGGGGTGATTTCTTGCTTTGTCTCTCTGTCTCCCAGGCAAGTTTTTGTACACTATAGAAAAAAAAAAAAAAAAAAAAAAACTTGCTTAAAAAAAAGAAAGACTGAATCGAGATGCCAAGCCTGTGTCACTCAGAACCACACCACAGTCATTTTTCAAACGAAATCTAAAAAAAATACACATAATCTAATGTATAGAAGATACCCACTTCAGCCCTAAACACTGCACCTTTAGAACTTGGTGAATGGAGAAGCAATGATTTTTAGCAGAAAAAAGCCTTGCTTTGGAATTTTGCTGACACTGCTAGGGGACTATTCTCTGCAGGCTGGGAGCACATGGGGGGCCTGGGTTTGATTCTAGGTCCAACCTGAAGACCATGCTGAGGTGGCTTATGCCTATAATCTCAGCGACTCAGGCGGCTGAGGCAGGAGGGTCAAAGTTTGAGGCTGGCCTGGGCAACAGAACGAGACCTGTCTGAAAAGCCAAAGCATGGTAGTGTGTCCCTGTGAGGCCAAGACAGAGCATCCTCATATGGCGAAAACTATCTTTAGAAAAGAAGAAGAAATGTCTTCGGGGCTCAGATTTTCCATTAAGTCACCTTTTGATATTGGGAAAAAGCACTCAGCCTCCTTGGGCCCCATACTTAATATTAAAGGATTAGACCTTTCCCCCCTTGTTAATAAAGCATCACGCTACACAGCAGCGGATGTGCAGTAAATCAGAGACGCTTCTAGGACAGGCACCGTCTGAGAGCTTTACACATTAACTCATTTAAGCCTCATGACAACTCCGTGAGGGTGTTTTTGGTTTGTTTCTTTGAGGGTTTTTTTTTTTTTTTTAGATTTTTTGTCATAGGATTCATGTGTGAGTCAGAGAGAGACAGGGAGAGAGAGGAAGAGAGAATGTAAGAAATCATCCCCCAGGGAGGATGGCCATGCCGCATTCTCTTCTCTGTTCTCCTCTCAGGATTTTGGGCATGCACACACTCGCACCCAGAGTAATTCTCAAGCCACCAGGTCCAGGATGTGAACCGTAGTTGGCCATGTGGGAACCCAGCACTGTAACCACCACAGCACCTTCTGGTCCCTAACCCCATGAGGTTTTACAGATGAAGAAACTGAGGCACAGATTCGTGACCTGGCTGCCTATGAACACACAGCGAGTGGCAGAGCCAGGATTCAAATCCAGGCATTCTGGATCTGAGCCCGCATCCTTCCCACCCTGTACTGCTTCTCTACAATTGTGAAAGCAATCAATTTTGGGACCAGCGGGAGGTATATTGGTTAAGTCATTGGACTCCCATGTAGTCAACTGTGGTTCAAATCCTGGACCCGACAGCTTAAAACTCATGCCAAGGGTGAGTGTGTGCACACCCAAAGCCCTAAGAGAATGAAGGAGAAGGAATTGTGGCATGGCCATCTCCCTCCCCAGAGGGTGAATTCTTGTCTTCTGTCTCTCTGTCTCTCTCTGTTTCTCTAGCGAGTGCACATGCCCTATAGCAAAACCCTCTCAAAAAAAAAAAAGAGAAGAAAGGGAACCAGCAGTTAGCGTAATGGCTATGTCACTGGACTACCACGTAGTCGACCGCGGTTCACGTCCCGGACCCGGTGGCTTAAAACTCACACTGGGCGCGTGTGCATGTGTGCCCAAGATCCCGAGAGGAGAATGGAGGAGAAGGGATTGCGGCATGACCATCCCCACTGGGGGGTGATTTCTCGCTTTCTGTCTCTCTATTTCTCTCTGTCTGTCTGGCGAGCGCACGCACTCTATAGCGAAAACCTCTCCAAAAAAAAAAGAGAGAGAAGAAAGTAATCAATATTTTAGAGTAAAGCTTCCCTGGATTGTGTCTGCTCTCCCTGCATGCTCTTCCAACTCCCATTGCTCCGGCTTTCCCCCAGTTAACTCTACTCATCTTTTAGATCTCAAATTCAATGTCATTTCCCCAGGGAAACTTTTCCTTAACCATCCATCTCAGATCAGATTCCAGAGCCACATGTCTTAATATGCTTTATCTGGGCCAACCCATAGCCCAGTGGTTAAGGAGCCAGATCCCACATGGTTGACCACATTGTTTGAATCCTGGCCCCTGCACCTTGGAAAACACATTAGGCGTGTGTGTGTGTGTGGGGGGGGCGGGCATTTCCAAAATTCTTCCAGGATGGAGAAATGGAGGAGAGGGGACTGGAGTAAAACCATACCATAAAGGGGGGGGAGGTGCTTTCTCCCTCTCCCTCTCTCTCTCTGTTTCTCTGATGAACACTTACACTCGCTGGCAAATTTTTTTTAATATTTTTTATCTTTCTTCTGGGCATTTACTACATTTATTACAATTTTCAATGACCTATTAATTTGTGTGCCGTTTGATTAAAGCCTTGCTCTCTACCTGCACCTCCACAAAACAACAAGGCCCATGAGGCCAAGAGCCTGCACGCAGTGCACCTGCAGGGCCAGCCTGGCGTAGGTGCAGGAAGTGCTGTGTAACCACTTGTCAAATGTGTCCATGACGTTTTGGGCAGTACCAGGAACACTCTGGTCAAGGTGAAATTTCCTAGTTAGTTGGCAAATATTCAGAAATTGCTACCATTCTATATAACCACACAGACACACACATACACACAATTCAGAATTTGTGAATTAGTGTGTGTGTGAGTGTGTATGAATAACCAAATTCTGAATTTCATTTTTATACAAGGGGACAGGAAAAAGTGTATGGAAAAAATGGAATTAAAGTATGAGTCTATTTTGGTGCAAAACATTTTGAAAGCCAGCCAGTTTTTTCTCTTTTTTCATCATACACAGTTTCCTTGAACTCATGGAGTCTGTTTTTCAAAAATACAGAAAAAGCGGGCCAACAGGTGGCATAGTGGTTAAGATGCTGGACTCCCATGTGACTGATTGTGGTTTGAGTCCCAGAACCAGTGGTTTGAAACTCACACAAGCTGCACGTGTATACGTATCCAGAATCTCAAGAGGAGAATGGAAGGGAAAGGATTGCAGTGTGGCCAACCCCCCTTAGGGGATGATTTCTTGGTTTCTGTCTCTCTGTCTCTATCTCTCCAGCAAGCACATGGGTCATAAGCAAAAAATCTCTCTCAAAAAAAAAAAATCATTAGAAACACCTTAAGCACCTTGATAACAAAAGACACCGTTAAAATCGTCAACTTCTGCCCAGCTTCCATCTGTCTCAGATACTGTTTCATCTTCAGCAAGTGTTCTTGAGATAATTCTGAATAATAAGTTACCTCACAGCCTGGCCAAATGGTTTGACTCAATCAATATGACTCCTTGCAAATGTTCCTATTGCTCTTGGGGGTGGGGAGAAGCTACTGGGATCCCTTTCCTGTTGTTAATAGCACAGGGAAATTGTTACCCTTGATACAATTATGATCCGCAAAACTTCAGGAGAGAGACTCATGAAAATGAGACTACCACACGGGATGCAAAAATCACCTCCCAATACTATGATATGATGGGACAAATAAGAAAGCGCTGATGTCACCCAAGGTGTCTGCCCCTGGTAAAGACAGGCAGCCACTGAGCAAATAGATAACGCCCAGCCTCCCGCACCCCACTGTCTGCTCCACCCAGTGCTGTGGCCCCTCAATCTCTCTGCATATTGCTGTGGACCTCTGGGCTCTCAGCCATCATTAGGTAGACAAGTCCTTGTCACCATTCTGAGACAGGACCTTCTTAAAAATTTGTCCTCATTGGGAACAGCAGATGATGTGATGGTTTATCACTAGACTCCCATGCAGTCGACCACAGTTCGAGTCGTGGACCTGGCAGTCTAAAACTCATGCCAGGCGTGTGTGCATGCATGCCCACAATCCCAAGAGGAGAATAGAGGAGAAGGGATTGTGGCATGGCCATCCCCCTTGGGGGTCATTTCTCACTTTCTGTCTCTCTGTTTCTGTGAGTGCATGCGCCCTATCGCAAAAAATCTCTCTGAAAATAAAAAGTGTCCTTGTTTTTCCTTCCAAGGCTATTAAACACAGACTGGTAGGCCACGTGGCCTCTGCCGCACAGTCAAGGTCACATAGGCCTACTCAAATGGGATCCTCTCCTCAAATGGGATCATGAAAGTCATCCCTCCTTCTCCCTCCTTCAGACTGAGTTAGACCTAAACCACCCTGTATCCATCTTTCCTTGATGTCAAGACAATGGTGATGATGTGACAAGTGTGACCAATGGCCCAGCTCTCTTGGAAGGTTTAAGTTTCTGGTTTCTAAAAGTTCAACATGGGTTTGCCTAGAATGAGGAGAAGTAAAACAGTAGGTCCGTGTGAGGTGATGGGTATGTTAATTTGCTTCACTGTAATAACCTTTCTACTATCTATATGCATCCCACAGCATCACATTATGTCACTTATACATACAAGTAAATTTACTTTAAAATAAAATACAACAGGGAGAGAGACTTGGTCTGGCCCAGCCAGTGCATGACAACCTGGTCTGACATTGACACTGTCACTGCCACCACAGTGGACCAGCAGCCGATGACCAGTTCACAGGAGTCCCTGATGCTGAGCTGAAATTCCTGTAGGTGAACCGGGGGAGGGCTTCTAGATCACCCTGGTGGATGAGTCTGTCCTCCATGACTGGGAGATGGCCATCTTCGAACCCCCAGCATGCTCTATGAAGGCAGCTACATCAAGGTGCATATTAAATGTCCTATTTCCCATGACCAGCAGATGACATAATGATTATATTGCTGGAATCTCACAGAGCTGACTGTGGTTTGGGTCTTGGACCCAGCACTTAAAACTCATGCCAGGCACATGTGTGTGCGTGCCCAAGATCCTGAGAGGAGAATGGAGGAGAAGGGATTGTGGCATGGCCATACTTCCTTGGGGGTGATTTCTCACTTTCTGTCTCTCTGTCTCTATCTCTCTGGTGAGCACATGCACCCTATAACAAAAATCTCTCTAAAAAATATGTATATTCAGTTTCCTATTTCCTACTAACCATATTCACCACTTACCTTGAGATTCTTAGCGAAATGTACGCATGTCAATTCTTGATGTGGATCATCTACAGACGACCGCCAGACAGGGGCCTGCCCTCTGAATGGCAGGATCTTACTGAGGAGGTGAGGATCTGCTAAGTGTAGTCTCACTGTTTGATCTCACCTTCTCCCCAGCCAAAGTGGATGCTCTGGGGGGTGTTACATTCGGGACATAGAGAGTAAAGGAAAAGTCAGAGAATATGCTGAAATCTTAGTAAACAGATTTTGGCCCCTGATGCCAACGCAGAAAAGGAGGAATATCCCAGCACTCTGGTGCCTTCCAATGACGACAGCTCAGATTTGCTCTATGATGACGTGTGCGATGATGACACTGGTAAGGAGGAGGAGGAGGAGGAAGATGCTGACTGCTGTGAGGATGATGACTCTGGAGATGCAGGGTCATGGTGCCCTCCTTTAATCCCCCTTTAGTGCCCTACCAACTCAGGCCGGAGGGAGGGGAGCAACTGGGGCCCTGGCCGTGAACCCTCAGCACAAACCTCTTCACTGGGGTGAGGAAAACACACAGGGCTGACTCCTCCACGGACCTGTTTTCTCCTTCTTATGAGCCTCTGTAATCCTCCACAGAATGTCCCAGTTCTTACATTTTTTTTTACCCTTCTATCATTGTACTGATTTTTTTTTTCTTTTTAGAGAGATTTTTACAATAGGGCACATGCAGTTGCAAGAGACAGAGAGAAAGTGAGAAATCACCCCCCAGAAGGGATGGCCATGCCTCAATCCCTTCTCTTCCATTCTTCTCTCAGAATCTTGGATATGCATCTACATATGCCTGGCGTGAGTTTCAAGCCTCCGGGTCCAGAACTTGAACCACAGTCGGCTATGTAGGAGTCTAGTGCCTTAAATGCCACCTGCTGGTCCCTACACTGATTCTTTAAAAAAAAAAAAAAATGGAGGGGGAGCAATAATCAGATAGTGGCACAACAGTAATGAAACAGAACCCCACGGTAAGGTCCTGGGTTCACGTCCTGGAGCCCCCTGTATATGTCAAGTATGTGTGCGTGTGTGCCTGTGATTTGGGCCAGCTAAAGCTAGGGGTGGATAATGGCATGAGCCTCTCTTTTGGGGGTCCCCCCACCTCTCTCTCATAGAAGAAATAAATGAATAAAAACAACATCCAAACTCCCAACTCACATTGTCTCTACAGAATGTTCACAGCAAAAGACATTTGGCCTGTTTCTGGATGCTTAAAGAATTTAGTTCTGAGACATCGAATGAGTCTAAGGCTGGGAACCTCCTGGGAGATCACAAGTGCTACATACACAGGGTAACAAAAGAAAATGAGAAAAGAAATGCAAAACAAACTTTAAAAAAATTTTAAGCTCATTCCATTAGTGTGTGCATATTCGTTTAGTCCCATGGTGGTGCACTTTGCTTCTTTCCCTTCCTGAGGCTGGGATCCAGTGGGCACCAGGGACTTTGTGCCACACCTTTGTGTCACGTTCCACCTAATGGAACGTGTGTTATTTCTGTCTCTGGGAAATCATCCTAACACAGAGGCCTCAGCTACTGAGGAAAGAAATCAGTTTGTTGCAGAGGCCTCAGCTACTGAGGAAAGAAATCAGGTTTTTTTTTGTTTTTTTTTTTTTAATCAATCAGGATCTAAAGTCTGAAATAAATACCCATACTTTACATAAAAAAAATAGTTTAATTAAATATCCTCTTCTAAGAAAAAGAAAAACAGTGAAGGAAAAGTCCTGAAGGACACCCATGCACAGCTCTACCTAAAGCCACCGGCAACTTAAAAATCCAAGTCATCCTCCTCCTCCTCCTCCTCCTCAATGGACTCTTACTAAACCTTCCTTGTCTTTTCTCTGAGAATCTTAAAAGTTACTACACACTACAGAAACTAAAACCACCCCCACTAGACATGACAGTCCCCATGAAGAGACGGGGAGCTCCGTGGCCGTGGTCTGACAATTCAAAAGAGTTGCCAATGAAGCCAGCCTTCCTCTGAGTGAGACTCGGCCTTCAGAACCCACCTTGCTGAGTGAGAAAGTGGCTGAAGAAACACAAAGCAATTGCTTACCCAAGGTGAAGAGCACCCAGGAGAAGCAGCACACTGGAAGCTCTCGCTGCTGCAGTCCCCAAGCCCGACTGAAGAGGCTTCTGCTAGCCCAGTAGGTCAGACGCAGAGCCAACGGAACGTGTGCATTCTGAGGAGGCTGTGGAGATGCAAACAGGAACCTCAGCCTCAAGGTTCTCGTTTCAGTCATCTGGTCCTTTCCCCAATGCGTATTTACACTTTCCTCCTAAAAAGAGGCAATACATTCAACCCTGCAGGCGTCATCTCCATCTCTACGTTATTAACTCTCTGAGGGTAAGAATTTGAATGGTACCAGACAAGCACTCGCTCAGAAAGAAATGAGCCTCGTGCAAACAAAATAAATTTAAGGTTCACACAAAACATTTGGTTCTGTGTTTAAGATGTAGCAACTTCCATTTTTTTTTTTTCTCTCTCTCAGTGCAGAGGTACAAACACAGAGGTCACCCAAACTCTGCTTCTGAAGATGTGCCTACCTAGCCTTTCAGCTCACCACCTCGACACATAGATCTCCGGGCAATACCACTGTTTCCACAATATGGGCAATGCCTTATTCCCTAGAGAACCTCTGGGGTGGCTTGGACCTCAGATAACAAATCAAGGCTTCTTCATTTCAAGAAATCTCTCACCATCTTCAAAATGAGTGTTCTCTATGTACATGCCTTCAACCGCGGCTGGATCAACTTGACCAAGCCATGGGCAGCCTCACCTTGTGGGACTCGTCCTGAATCATTTGAAAAGCTGTTAAATGTTTGTTTTCCTCAAGGACTAGGCTATACAGTCCCTAAGAAGTGATGTGCTGGTGAGCCAGCAATTTCCATAGTATAAATACTCCCACTGTAAGCTACTAACAGTTTAACAACCAGCTTGCAAAATTTCTAAAAACGTAATAATCCGCTGTTGCCGTGTGAGCTAGTTCCAGCTTGCCGCTGAATCTATGCAGGTTCTTGCTGGGGTACAGCTCAGACAGGACTGATTGCTTGATACTGAAAACCACAATCCCCCCTTCTCTTTCACAAGACAACTCCTATCTTGTATGTGGCTATAAACCAACAGAGAGGCAGAAGATCAAATAAAATTTATTAATGTTTATGAGACAGTAAAGATAACAACAGTTACAGTATCTCCCCACATGGCCCAACAGTGCATACCCTCCCACCAAACAAAAACAAAAAACAAAACACAAAAGCAAAAAAGGCAATGAGATGCAGTCATTAACAGCCCAACACTGGATTCAAAGGAATGAAGCCTCTTCTAGCAGCAAAGTTTGGAGTTGTGCAATTACGTAACTGTCTCGGTCCACTCGTAGCAGGTCTTCCTACAGCTTCCTGTTAGAACCAGAACTGCAAATGGCTTACTGGTTATATTGCTGGACTCCCACATGGCTGACTGTGGTTCGAGTCCCAGACCCGGTGGCTTCAAACTCACACCAGGAGTATGTGCATGCATACCCAAGATCCTGGAAGGAGTCCGGGCAATACCACTGTTTCCACAATATGGGCAATGCCTTATTCCCTAGAGAACCTCTGGGGTGGCTTGGACCTCAGATAACAAATCAAGGCTTCTTCATTTCAAGAAATCTCTCACCATCTTCAAAATGAGTGTTCTCTATGTACATGCCTTCAACCGCGGCTGGATCAACTTGACCAAGCCATGGGCAGCCTCACCTTGTGGGACTCGTCCTGAATCATTTGAAAAGCTGTTAAATGTTTGTTTTCCTCAAGGACTAGGCTATACAGTCCCTAAGAAGTGATGTGCTGGTGAGCCAGCAATTTCCATAGTATAAATACTCCCACTGTAAGCTACTAACAGTTTAACAACCAGCTTGCAAAATTTCTAAAAACGTAATAATCCGCTGTTGCCGTGTGAGCTAGTTCCAGCTTGCCGCTGAATCTATGCAGGTTCTTGCTGGGGTACAGCTCAGACAGGACTGATTGCTTGATACTGAAAACCACAATCCCCCCTTCTCTTTCACAAGACAACTCCTATCTTGTATGTGGCTATAAACCAACAGAGAGGCAGAAGATCAAATAAAATTTATTAATGTTTATGAGACAGTAAAGATAACAACAGTTACAGTATCTCCCCACATGGCCCAACAGTGCATACCCTCCCACCAAACAAAAACAAAAAACAAAACACAAAAGCAAAAAAGGCAATGAGATGCAGTCATTAACAGCCCAACACTGGATTCAAAGGAATGAAGCCTCTTCTAGCAGCAAAGTTTGGAGTTGTGCAATTACGTAACTGTCTCGGTCCACTCGTAGCAGGTCTTCCTACAGCTTCCTGTTAGAACCAGAACTGCAAATGGCTTACTGGTTATATTGCTGGACTCCCACATGGCTGACTGTGGTTCGAGTCCCAGACCCGGTGGCTTCAAACTCACACCAGGAGTATGTGCATGCATACCCAAGATCCTGGAAGGAGAAGGGACTGTGGTATGGCCATTCCCCACCCCTCACCCCACCCTACCCCCCGGAGGTGATTTCTTACTTTTCGTCTCTCTGGCGAACGCACACACCCAATAGCAAATCTCTCCAGAAAAAAAGAACCAGAACTGAATTCCATGGAAGAACATTCAGATTTGGCTTCCAGAATTCTTTTTAAACAGAGATAGGAAACTTCCCCTCTTGAAGCACCAGCACTCAATTCAGCAGCTGCAGAGGACCGAGATGTTCCTCAAGTAGTCTGAAGAAATGGATGGTGGTAGAAACACCAAATACTTTCTAAGTTCACATTTTGTAACAGAATAAAGAGTCTAATACATAAAACTCATAAGGTAATACAATCCCAGGTAAACAGTAGAACATCCAAAGGGAAATTCTGGAAGGATTTAGTAAGAGAACAGAAGGGAGAAGTAGCAGTTCTGCACAACCTCACTTCCTAGTCTCAAATATTATGCAAAAATAGCTTGTACCCACTACGGTTTAACCCCTTCTGTATTCTACCCCCTTTCTAAACAAGACTGGTCTCTATAGGGTATGACGAGAGCCCATGAAGCAGCAGAGAGAGAGTAGCACCTTTGAGGACATTAAAACAAGCAAACAGAACCCCTTTTCCTTCCTTCTGTTCTTAAATAAGGCACGTGTCTATACACTGCTTTGTGTTCCTTTGAAGGAGAAAGTTACAACTGAAACCTCAACACAAGGGATGAAGGAAACTGATAGCAACTGTGACTGGGCATGACCACAAACCCATGGAGGAGACTCAACCATCAAGTCACTCCCTTCCCACAACAGACGATATTGTTTAGTTGTCTCAAAAAGGAACAGGACGGGGGCCAGCAGTTGGCATAATGGCTATGTCGCTGGACTCCCACATAATCGACTGCAGTTCGAGTCCCGGACCCGGTGGCTTAAACTCATGCCGGGCGCGTGTGCGTGTGTGCCCAAGATCCCGAGAGGAGAATGGAGGAGAAGGGATTGAGGTGTGGCCATCCCCCCTGCAACAGGGTGATTTCTCGCTTTCGGTCTCTCTGTCTCTCTCTGGCTGGCTGGCGAGCGCACACGCCCTACAGCAAAAAAACCTCTCCTTAAAAAAAGAAAAAAAGTAACAGGATGGTTCAAATCATGACGAAGGCTACCAAATAACAGACTGAGTGTTCTCAGCACCGTTGGCCTAAAGTAACAAACATCCCTCATGGATCACTCCTCACAGCTCACCTACAAGGAAAGGACAAGACCTACTTCTTACAACACCCTCTCTTTCTCAGAGAAGTGAGGCCCACAAAACATCCCCCTCGCAATTAGAGCTCTATCTTCAAATCTCCAAGAACTCAAATTTACTGTCATTGCTCAACCTGTTTTCTTTCCTCTGTTGAGGTTTCAGAAATGGTCTCATTAGTTTGTATGCAAACAACCGCATACTTAACAAGTGACCCAAAAACTGTGAAGTGTAATCATTGGAAATGTAAACTGCTGACAGCGTCTTTACCTTCTGTCTTTACGTGACCAGGTAAATCATGATGTCTATTAGATTTTCTAATCTGTGGACTAGGTCAACAAACGAGGTTAGGCCAAATTTAAAAAATAAGATCTTGGAAAAAAAAATAAATAGTGATTATTTTTAAAGTTATAGCAGATATATGCGTATATGTGTGTATATATATATATAATTTGCCAGAGAGAAAAAGAAAGACAGAGGGAGTGGGAAAGAAAGAAAAGGCACACTCCCATGGGGTATGGCCACACCACAATCCCTCCTCCCCCACTTCTCCATCCTGTCAAGATTTGAGGCATGCATGCATACACGCCTGGTGTGTTTTTTTTCAAAACACCACAAGTGGAATGTGGTCAGCCATGTGTAATCTGGCTCCCTTAATCACCAGGCTACAGAGTCAGCCCAAAAAAGGTAATTTAAGGAACTAGCAGTTAGTGTAATGGCTATGTCGCTGGACTCCCATGTAGTCGACCATGGTTCGAGTCCTGGACCTGGTGGCTTAAACTCATGCCGGGCACGTGTGTGTACCCAAGATCCCGAGAGGAGAAGGGACTGCGGTGTGGCCACCCTCCTGACGGGGTGAGGTGGGGTAGGGGGGTGATTTCTCGCTTTCTGTCTCTCTGTCTTTTTCTGTCTTTCTGGAGAGCGCACACGCCCTATAACAAAAACCTCTCAAAAAAAAAAAGTTATTTAAAATATATATATTTGTGTGTGTGATGTTATATATTATATATGTTTTATATATATTACATATCTATGTATATAAACAACATATAATGCTGCAGTATGGCAACCTGAGCTACCTAGTGAAGAATCATGGGAAGGAATTATCCTCTTGAAAAAATCAAAGATGGGGAGGAGAAATGTTTGTCTCACTTCAACAGAGGTGAACACTACCACTCTATTACAGAGAACTACTTACATATACACTGTCGCTCCTTCCGGCTATGTCATACCTATTCTGTAATGGCTTATAGAAAAACCCATGTCAATTAAAAGTTGAAATTGGCTTTTGGAGCAGAATGGAGGAACCTGTTACAAGATATTAAGAGCACGGAAGGGAGAAGTATAGGTTCCGTACAACCTCACTTCCTCGTCGCAAATATTATGCAAAAATAGGTTCTACCCACCACAGTTCAATCATGGCGCATTTTAGAGACAAATGTTGGAGACCAATGCAAGTAAAAAGTTAACCTAATTGCAAAACACTGCTAAAATATTTC